TGTTTAAATTTATTTATTCAAAGTTATAACAAAACATATTTTCCAAAAACATATCCTTATTTCCCCCCCATTTTTCCTCCCTCCCCCCTCCCCCCCACAGAACCCATCCTCCCACCCCACCCCCCGACTTCCCTCAGTTCCAGTCTTTGGTTTCTCCAATAACACTATTTTCTGCATGTTGCAGAGTTGTGTAGATCTTCAAACTGTTTAGCTAATTATTATCAGTAAAAAAAATATGTGAATGTTTATTCAAAACCTGCCAAGGAGTCCAGTTCGCTTTGTTGCATCTTCAAATACTTTGTGAAAGGTTCCCATTCATCCTTAAAGTCACAGTTATCCTTGTCCCGTAACTTATATGTCAATTTTGCCAGTTCTGCATAGTCCATCAATTTTTCTTGCCATAATTCTTTAGTTGGGGTTTCTTCAGTCTTCCATCCTTGTGCTACCAGAACTCTCGCAGCCGTTGTCGCGTGCACGAAGATGTTTTTCAACTTTTTTGGCAGGTCTTTCCCTGCAATCCCCAACAAAAATGCCTCAGGTTTTTTAACAAAAGTTAAATGGAACATTTTCTTCAGTTCATTGTATATCATTTCCCAAAATTTTTTAATTACTTTACAATCCCACCACATATGATAAAATGTTCCCTCCTTTTCCTTACACTTCCAACATATATTTGAACTAGTTTTGTACATTTTCCCTAACTGCACTGGTGTTGTGTACCATCTGTACATCATCTTCATGTAATTCTCCTTCAATAGGGAACAATCTGTAAATTTTAAGTCCGTTTTCCATAATTTAACCCAATCATTTAACCCAATCTTCCATCATAATGTTGTGACCTACATCTTGTGCCCATTTAATCATAAATGTGGCCGGCATTATTAAGCCGCTTCTGGCGAACCAGAGCAGCACACGGAAACGCCGTTTACCTTCCCACCGGAGCGGTGCCTATTCATCTACTTGCACTTGGACATGCTTTCGAACTGCTAGGTGGGCAGGTGACATAAGGAAAGGCTATAGCCATGTAAGGTAGGCTGCAGTTAATATATGTACATAAGCAGCAGTTTTTGTCAATATATTGTGGGAGATGGGGAATTGAGAGGCCCCAATCCACATTCAGTGTATGTAGTGGGCCCAGGAAATCCTGTTGCAGTGAGTGGCTTCCAAGTTCACATTATTTCTAGGATTAAGCTACATATGTAGAGAGAGGACCTTATCTGTACTATTCAGTAGATTACTCGTAACTTAAAAAAACAACAACCCAAACTTTAATGCAGCTGTGGAGATTTCCAGATTTGATTATAACATGTGTGTTGCATAACTCTTTCACCAAAGAGTTAAACAAAAACATGTGTTTAAAAAATTGTGTTAAGAATTTGTCCACTCCAAACTTCTTTCCCTACATAAGACGAAAAAAATGTGTGAACCCACCAATCTTCATACATGGGTTTCTGCTTGAGGACAATTATCAAGACTATTCTCCTGTAGGGGGAAAAAATAGTCTTGCTATTCACAAAACAAGATGCCTTTCATTTGCAAACCCTTCCCTGCAAGTGCCATTTGCATTTCAGATCTCAGGAGTGTGAGGGCAAACAATATTTCTGAGCCAGGTTCAGCTAGATCAGGGGTCCCCAAACTAAGGCCCACAGGCCGGATAAGGCTTGAGGGACTTGCTTATTTGGCCCACGGAGACCCCTGCCTCCCGCTGCCCACTGCCGGGTCAGAGGAGCACCAGAAATAGCTCGTGTGCATGTGCAAGCGTTATTTCCGGTGCACATCCGGGTCAGAGGAGGCCCGTGCATATGTGCACAAGCTATTTCCAGTGCTCCTCTGACCCGGAAGTGCGCCGGAAATAGTGTGTGCGCATGCGTATGGGCACGCACTCCCCCACCCTCCAGCCCACCGTGCGATCGGCGCTGGAGACACCTGCCTGAGGCGCAGTAAGTTTGCTAACCCGTGAGCTAGATTCAAAGCGCCACTCACTCTATATCCAAAATTATCACTGATGTGCATTGAGAGCATTTATTATAATTACTTTTTATAACTCACCATAAGCATAATATTATCAGCACAGATCAAATGTCACCATGTCTTTTAGCAGAAAAATTGTGCATTTTGGTATACCTTTGATGGAAAATCAGGGAGTTACTAAGTAACATTCCAGAAGTTGTATTCTTACAGTAACAACTGGCTTGTTGTAGCAACGTTTTTGCTCACTAGGTGTCAGTGCTGCCCTACATTCATTTAATGTACAGTAATTTACATTTTAAGTACAGTAGTGGAAACAGAGGCACAGCCAGAGTTTGCAGGAAACAGATGCTTATTCCTACAGAAATCGTTAAAAGTCTAAACTTGCAGACTTTTGATAAAAGTTAGACTATAGAAAGCTTTAGTTTAGAGAATGAATGTCGGATGTGGGTGTGAGGCAGCGTAGCTCTGTTTACCAAGCCCAGGAAGGCTCCTACTCCTGCATCCTTTGGCACATCTGAGTGGACACTGTTAGAAACAGGATGGTGGACCAGAAGGACCTTTGTGGCACATATACTTCCAGTTTGCAGATAATCCTAGATACATGGTGAATGAATGGCGCAAGGTCAGAATGGCTTTAAGTGGGTGTGTTTCTTTTTAAAAATGGGAAATGACTGCTGGGCTAAAGTGTCCAGGCTCTTAGCTCCTCCCCTTTTCATTTCTCAGCAAACAAAGTTCCAATAAGGAAGTGAAAGTGCCCTCGAAGCAGCTGGGCTCTTTGAGCTGGTTTCTTATTAAAACAAGGAAGCGGACACAACACTGCGGCATTCACGGGCCACCAACAAGTGATCCTTTCGGGGGCTGTTTGTGAAACATTATCTGAAGGTAATTACCCAAAGTATTTTATATACAGGATTTAATATTTTTTATTTGCTTAAGCCTGAATACTGTCTGTCTTACAGGAAACTTTCTTGAACTTTCATACTGAGTAATATATGACTGGGCTGGGGAAAGTCAGTCAGAACTGCCTTTCTCTCAGGAATGCAGATATTTCATAAGTGGAAAACAATTAAAGGTAAAGGGACCCCTGACCGTTAGGTCCAGTCATGAATGACTCTGGGGTTGTGCGCTCATCTCGCTCTATAGGCCGAGGGAGCCGACGTACAGCTTCCAGGTCATGTGGCCAGCATGACTAAGCCGCTTCTGGCGAGCCAGAGCAGTGCACGGAAACGTCTTTTACCTTCCCGCTGGAGCGGTACCTATTCATCTATTTGCACTTTGAAAACTATTATGTGGAAATTAAAAAAAAAATCAGACTCTAGCCTCAAGCGAAACTCTGTCTCCTGGCACTTTCTGCTGGAATGGTTGCTGAATGTCTTCCATTCAGGTATTGAATTTCCGCTTGACCAGACATGGGCTACCCTGAAAAAGTGCATAGCTCATGAGTTTGTTGCACCAAAGTTTCATGTAAAAACAATAAATTGAAATTATGTAAACTTAATTGTAATAAATCTGTAGGAGTACTGTTAGTATAGAATTAGAGACTATAAGTAGAAGCAGTGGCTGTGAGGCACTTTGTATTTCAGAAGCATTAGAGTTTTCCAAACTTTTCATGTTGGTGACACACTTTTTAGATATGCATCATTTTGCAGTACAGTAATTCAGTTTTACTAGCAAACCAGAGGTTAAACTAACCCCTTTCCAGCCCCAGAAATGTGGGGAGCATTCCTGTGACACACCTACACACTGCAGCTGACATCTTGTTGCAACACACAGTTTGGAAAGCTCTGTTGTAAATCATTAGCAGTTGCCCTTTATGCCATTTATCTGGTTCCACAGCAGGTGTGCCAATTTGGATCTGTTACAAACAAACTGACATATCCTAAAATAAATCAGTTGCCATTACTGGAAGCTGTATGCTGGCTCCCTCGGCCAATAAAGCAAGATGAGCACTGCAACCCCAGAGTCGGCCATGGCAGGACCTAATGGTCAGGGGTCCCTTTACCTTTACCTTTATCCCCAAGTGGACGCTGTGCCAAAAGAGCTCTGAAGCGTTCTGCCTTGCTTGGGACTTGGCTTATGAAATTTCATGCAGCCAACCAACTACATCTGGTTGAAACTGCATAAGTCAAAGTGCATGTAAGATGAAGAATTATAGCACCTAGATAAAAGTTGTTAAATAAGGTTTTATTTGATCAGAGAGCCCTTGGCATAGTGCTGCCAATGCCCCTCCCTCAGCACATACGACCCTACTGGGGGGGGGGGCAGCCCTGCTTCCAAAGCAGTGGTGGCAGCACTCAGCACCCTCCACCAGATCTCTAGGCACACTTCAGCAACGGAAAGGCATCTAGGTGTGACCCACATCCACAGTATCTGCCCACCAGTTTAAGTTACCCAAATTGCAGTGCCCTGTACCTAATGATTTCAGAGATAAAACATCCTACTTGGGGATGCTTGTGAACAGAAGCCAAAGTCACTTCCCATTCACAGGGGCCACCTGCTGATGAAAAGTACCCAGCAAGAACAGTGAAAGGCCCTTCAGAGACCCTGGCGTGGCCTGACTGGCCTTTGGTGCTGACCCTGACCCTGACCCTGCCTAACAGAAGTAGAAGAGTAAAATAAATATGCAAAATTGCAGAATAGGAAAAGTTCATACCCTATATGGGATGAAAAGTTTGTGCTACTTTGCAATAGAATTTTACTTTATTTGAGTACAGAATACATGGAGCCTGACAAGGTGTTCAAATGATTGTCCATGCCCTTCCTCTGTGTACAAAGACTTGCTGCTCCTCAGAGCTGGACTGAAATTTTTAGGGTGAGAAGACAGAACAAAAGGAGATTCAAATTGTTTCCTGTTTGAACTTGGCTTGCTCAGATTTCCCCCACTTTTTGCCAATGTGTTAACGCATCTAAATTGATTATAGCAAAGCACTCCAGAGAAATTCCTACCTTTACTTGGTAATACCAATAAAATGGTGTTGCTGTTGTTTTATCTTTGCAGGTGCATCATGAATTTGACAAATTCTTCCAGTATGGAAGAAATCCCTTTGGATGATGTCAATAGAACCAGCACAGAATACAGAGTGCTTATGGCTTATGCCCAGCGTCGACTGTCCGCGAGCAAATACGGGCATCTTTTAGAAAGGGAAGCGAAAGGCCAAGAGGGATCATCTCTAGGCAGAGAGAAGAGGCAAGGTAAGGAGAAGGCACATCAAGGCTCGTCTCCCAAGGACCAAGGACAGCTGACCAGAGTCAGGAGGAAGACGAAGAAGAAGAAGTCCCGTTGCAAGAACTTTCTCTTTCCTTCCTGTCTAAGGGCGCAAGCTGAAGAGGATTCTGGGAAGACGCTCAGAAGGGGTGATGCTGTAAATGGGCGTGCACTAAGCCTGCAGGCGGGTGTTGGAAGTTGTTCTGCTTTTTCACTAGAAGAGCAAGGTGGGTTTAATCCCCCCCCATTTGTTAAACACTCTAATAGCATATTAGTGGCAACTATTGCTTGGTTTTCAGCCTTGGGTTCAAAACAGTTCTGCAGGCCCCTTCCCAGAACTGCAGTTACTTACAGTTCCGTAGGTTAAGGGGATGATAGCTAAGCCACTGCAATGGCTTAAATTTTATGAAATAAATAAATAGAAGTAACATAGCTAATCTATCAAACTATCTAAAGCAGTGGTTCCCAACCTCCCCCCCCATGCTCCACCTAAGCATCTATAAAATCCTGATGCCCACCCCCCATGACATATAATTCTTATTATTCAAAAAGTGAACTCCTATTCACATGGAGGAAGCCTAAAAAGCCATTAACTTGGTCTATCTCGAATTGCCCCCCTTAAAAATCAACTTGCCCCCCTTTAGGGCGTGTGCCCCACGTTGGGAACCACAGCTCTAAAGAGTGAAGAAGATTTCTTATGGGGAAATCTGCTCCCCTTGGCAGCCTCTCTGACCAAAGCAATGCACGTCCATTGTGAAGGGCTGGTTCTTAATTCTGTGAGGGTCTGCCTCAGGGACTGGGAACCCTTTTCAGCCTGAGGGCTACATTGCCTCATTGCCAATGCACAGGAGACTGCATGGCAAAGGTGGGTATGGCAAGGAAGGGTACTCCAAGGAAGTATGGCACACCACAGGCATGCACACACCACACGCCTAAGCACATCACCATTCAACTTCCTATCAGAGGCAACAGAAGGCTTTCCCCGATCCTATGTGAGGTGGAGGGAACATTTTCAGAAGTGGGGCAGGGTCACAGGTGGGTGAACTCACAGTGCAGATAGTCTCCCATGCCACTGGGGTTCCAAAAAGCGGGCCTCTTGGCCTCTGCGACTCAGTGGTAGATCGCATGCAGCAGTGGGAAAGGTCTTTGTTGGTGAGCTTGCTGCCAGAAGACCATCTACAGCACCGGATTGAGTGGATCAGCATTTGAGCATGTTCCTTATGGGGAAAGGCTAAAGCATTTGAGGATTCTAAGGGTGACATGCTTGATAATTTCAAGATTGTGCAGGGTGTAAAGAAAACCAGCTAGTGAATTTGTCTCAATTTGTTTCTGAACAGGTGATTCAGACATCAATGTTGTGGTAGACAAGCTTGCTGAAATAGTTGATAATTCCACGCTATTCCCTCAAAGGACAGGATTCAAAGCACTGGAAGAGACTCTGAGCCTAGAAGCAGATGGTGGGTGTGCCACCAAACCCGAAAATGATGTTGAAAAAGGTAACCTGCTTTTCCTCAGCAGCCAAATGGCATTTCTGTAGAGTCTGTGTTTTCAAAAACTTTTTTTCTTGAAGAAACCTTTTCTTGATTGATTTGTCTGTCAAGTAACCATTGCACACTTGCCACATAACCCCTGGATGTTGCAAAGGATTTCAGCACACATTCTTCAGCGTACTGGCAAAGCCTTTTGGGTGGCGCTGTGGTCTAAACCACTGAGCCTAGGGCTTGCCAATCAGAAGGTCGGCGGTTCGAATCCCCATGACAGGGTGAGCTCCTGTTGCTCGGTCCCTGCTCCTGCCCACCTAGCAGTTCGAAAGCATGTCAAAGTGCAAGTAGATAAATAGGTACCACTCCAGCGGGAAGGTAAACGGCGTTTCCGTGCACTGCTCTGGTTCACCAGAAGCAGCTTAGTCATGCTGGCCACATGACCCGGAAGCTGTCTGCAGACAAACGCCGGCTCCCTCGGCCAATAAAGCAAGGTGAGTGCGCACCCATGGAGTCATCTGCGGCTGGACTTAATGGTCAGGGGTCCCTTTACCTTTACTAAAAACTGTATGTGTGTTCAGAAAAGTAACAGACATCTGCAATATGGCTTTTGTCTGGAAGCACCGTAACTGAAACACACCTTCAGATTTATTTAAACATATTCAAATATATAACACAGTTGTGCCCTATGGGTTATCTATCACACTGTTTCTCAGCCACCTTCAGTGATGGTCAGTATTCTCCACACGAGGCAGCTGATAGTATGGCCAGGTAAAGGTAAAAGGTAAAGGACCCTGGACGGTTAAGTCCAGTCAAAGGCGACTATGGGGTGCGGCACTCATCTTACTTCAGGCCAAGAGAACCAATGTTTGTCCACAGACAGCTTTCCAGGTCATGTGGCCAGCATGACTAAACCACTACTGGTGTACAGAGGACTGTGACGAGTCCAGAGCTCAAAGAAACGCCTTTTACCATCCAGCCACAGCAGTACCTATTTATCTACTTGCACTAGTGTGCTTTCAAACTGCTAGATTGGCAGCAGCTGGGACAGAGTAACGGGAGCTCACCCCATCACACAGATTTGAACTGCCAGCCTTCCGATCAGCAAGCCCAAGAATGTTTTGGACCCGTGTCCCTAGTATTGCCAGACAACCTCTTCAGATTGAGATAATATGCATAGAACACATGGAAAAAGCATTCCATAAATACTTAAAGCTCTTGAGGCAGCTTACGAAATAATTTGTTTTAATGAATGTAAATGATTATTTTACATCCTGTGTTAAACCAGAAAATTAGCTTCTTCTTTTTTCTGTTTTACCAGATGAGAAAGAAAAGTTAATAAAAGAAATAGTTGCCTTGTTAAGAGCATCGGGAGATAAACTGCAGGAAAAGGTAAGCAGTTTGAGGCTGCAATTTGTACTATGTTGTTTTTTACTTGCATTGAATCTTAAAGCATTTAATTGCAGAACTTTCTATTTTATTATTTACAATTTTGTGAATTGCTTTTCTAGAATGTTGAATGTGTAGAAAGGGGAGAAAGATATAGTTTAAAGAGCAGCTGCAGGGGAAGGAAGACAGGAGAAAGCCTTTTGTGGAATTCAGATTACCGTAGGTTTGGATAAAAATATAATAGAATAGTAGAATTGGAAGGGATCCTGAGGATCATCTAGCCCAACCCTCTGCAATGCAAAACTCTCAACTAAAGCATCGGAGACAGATGGCCATCTAACCTCTGCTTTAAAACATCCTCCACCTTCTGAGGTAGTCCGTTCCACATAGCTTTTACTGTCAGAAAGTTTTTCCTAATGTTTTGTCAGAATCTACTTTCTTGTATCTGGAACCCTATGGAGAAGCAGAAAACAAGCTTACTCCATCTTCCATGTGACAACTTATTTCCTCTCAGTCTCTTTTATCCAGGCCAAACATATCCAACTCCCTCAACTGTTTCTTTTAAGTCTTGGCCTCCAGACCCTTGATCATCTTGGTCACCCTCTTCTGCACACCTTCCAGCTGCCCTATATCCACTGTGGTGCCCAATTTGATCCATCAGATTTGTTTATATCCACATAAAATGTGTGTACATTAAGGAGGCCCCAGTAATCTTTTTCCAAAGAATTATTTGGGGTTTTGGAGAGCTGAAAGCACTTTTCCAGAACTACATTTACAAGTTGGCTGTAAAAAAGAAGTTGTCTCATAAATCCACACTTACCAGAGAATTGGAGAGCAATTATTTCTTATTTGTATATTTTACAAGGAAAAGCCTTCCTTGAACTTGCTGTGTTCAGAGATCGTTGTGCCTGAAATGGGACCAATACCTCTGTTTGTTCCTAATGACAAATGCCTTACATTCATTTCCAGGTTCAAAATGACAGGACTTTCTTTCAGTGTGCCTCAGAACTGATGTCCTATGGATTCTTCAGTAGAGTTGCCGATCAATTCCTAGAAGAGATACCTGCAGACTCTACAGCAGACTCTGAGGTGCAAGCACAAAGTATCAAAGTTGCTTTTGCTATTGAAGTCATAACTAGACTCACTGCTATAGACAACCATCCCATGAACACCATACTGGGCTTTGGAGCAAAATACCTCAAGGAAAACTTCAGCCCTTGGATCCATAGTCAAGGTGGATGGGTAAGAGATTTTGCTTCCTCTGCTGGCGCATCCTCCCCTTTCTAAACAATAGTTACCTGTGAACTTTCCCTTGGGGCTGCTGGGCCTAGCAGCCATTCATGAGAGTTGGGTGTGAATGCATGGGTACCCTGTGCTACATACCAGACATTTGTTCTGACATTCTGAAAGTAGAAATTATTATTTGTGCTCTTATTCCTACAAGCTTGCACTGAGCTCTCTCACTATGTTAGGATATAACTAGGTTACAGATTAAAATTTGTTTAACAACTATACCCCTTCTTGGGGAATCTTGAATCCCATTGGCTAGGAAAATTCTCAGCCAATTTACCAATTTTTTATTCCCAGTTTTCTTCAGATAAAGCTGTAGCAGTGAAATGGTGGTACCTCGGGTTACAGACACTTCAGGTTACAGACTCTGCTAACCCAGAAATAGTACTTTGGGTTAAGAACTTTGCTTTAGGATGAGAACAGAAATCGTGCGACTGTGGCGCAGTGGCAGTGGGAGGCCCCATTAGCTAAAGTGGTACCTCAGGTTAAGAACAGTTTCAGGTTAAGAACGGACCTCCAGAACGAATTAAGTTCTTAATCCGAGGTACCACCTCGATAAAAGATTGTAGTGTATATATTCAAGACGGGCGTGGGGGGAGGGGGGATCCAAATTGGATTCTAAGTTGGTGCTTCAGATTCAGTCAGAGCTTATCTCCCTCGGTCTGCTTTAGGCAATGCTTGTTTTGTCTGGGAAACCAAAGCTTCAGAAAGCTGAGTTGCCTCTTGGGGCGGGGTAACAAATGGCTATAACTTTTAAACTTTGGGGACTGCGTTTTTTTGACTGGAGGCTATGGAGCACACTGAGGTGCAGAACAGGAGTGGGGCCAGAGACGCCTCCATGGCCAGGGCTGCCCCCTGCCACCCCCAAGGGCATGCTCTGGCCTATGGCAGCTCATGGCCCTGCTGCCATCTTCTTCGGGGCACTGCGCTCCGTCTCCTGCGCAAAGGGGAAGAGTGCTTTGGATATGCCAGAGACCATTGCCAACTGAGATGCTGCCCGCTTTCCTGTCGTTGCCAGCTGCACCCTCTTAGGCCTCCACCTCTTCTTCAAAATATTATCTCACGAATACATCAGCCTGTTACTCTCCCTGAATTTTCCCAACAAACAGTACCAGCTTCTCTTCACTCAGGGCTCTGAGGAAACTAAGGAAGAGCTTGTCGACCACGAGTTTGACACCGTGGACCTTGTCTGCCTGGCCATGAGTAGCAGTGTTGGAAATCTGGTACCTGTTGAGAAAGCACTGGATTGCCAACAACTTCTTTGGCCTGGCCTTCCCTCTCAATTTTTATTTATTTATTATTCAGTGAATTTATATACTGCCCGGAGGTCTCAGTGGGTCTCTCAGTGGGGTGGAGCTGCTGAACTTGAACAATGTCAGCATCGGCTGCATTCTGCTTGGTGGGCTCTTCATGTATGATGCCTTCTGTGTCTTTGGCACCAACATTATGGTGACGGTCGCAAAGTCATTTGAAGCACCTATAAAACTGGTTTCCCCCCAAGATCTGCTAGAGAAATACTTGGAGGCTGACAGCTTTGCCATGATGGGCTTGGGGGCATTGTCATCCCAATAATCTTCATTGCTTTACTGCCATGCTTTGCCTCAAGAGGAACAAGCACACATACTTCCACACCAGTTTTGTGGCTTATATGGTATTTTGGGGCTGGGCCTCACCATCTTCAAACATGCACAGCCAGCCCTGCTCTACCTGGTCCCAGCCTGCATTGGCTTCCCTCTCCTGGTGGCTCTGGTGAAGGGAGAAGGGGCAGAGATGTTCAGCTATGAGGAGAACTCTGCCTCCAAGGAGGTGCCAGAGGATACCAAAGAAGGGAAGAAGGAGAAATGACTTTGGGAAGCTCAGCCAGCTGAGCTCCATCTGCTGGCCACCCCCACCCCCCGCAAGTGAATTTTGTCTTTTAAAAGACAACTGGATCGTATAACAGCCAGTGTGTTTGTACGTGTGCATCTGTCTGAAGACTGGTGGGGCAGGGGGTGGAAAACAGGAGGAGGGGCCTGTTTATTGATCTTCTCTCTGCCTGTCTACTTGCCTGTCTGCAGCCCTCCTGTTCCCCTGGGGAGAAAGAGGATGGGGCAGGTGGGGGCAAGAAAGCAGCTTTGCCTCTTCCACCAACTGTCTTTTGATGCCAGCTTCCCTGACCTCTGTTCATTGTCTTGGTGGGAAGAAGAAAACAGGGGGAGAGAAAGGGAGGCTTGGAGTTGATTTTTAAATTTTGTATTGTGAATTTGCTTCACAAATTAAAACAAAACAAAAAATTATTGAAGAACTTTAAAACTTTTGTCACACCTGGATGAAATCTGTGGGCAAAGTAGCCTCTTCTGAGTGGAGCCATGTTTAAGACAAGGTACAGATAAACCTTTAAAGTTTTTGTTTGTTTGTTTGTTTGTTTGTTTGTTTGAAAAAGGGATTCCTCCCCTCACCATGTTGTTGGCAATTGGCATAAACATATGGTACATCATATAGATACCTCTAGGTAAATTCCCTGCAAAATTGCAGGGGTCAATATGGATGAATAACAGTTTGAAGCTTTTAAAGTTTTCTGACTGAATTTGGCATCAGTTTTCACTGAAAGTGCTTGTGACAATTATGACAATTATGGGTGGACGTGTGTGGCAGAGGTGGGAGTTTAATATCCAGCATTTACTAGTTAGGAGCTAGATTCGCCAGTCACAAAACTACACTCCATCTTCTCCCTCCCTCTGTCTGGCATTTTCCTTTTAGAAAGCACTTGGGGCAAGGAGGAAGAGGGGTGTGCCTTTTCAATTGACTGTGTCTCTCCAAATCTTCAAAGTGGGTCCAAAGCTTTAGAGTAGCACTGTTAGTTCTGAGTTGCTTCAGAGAAGGCTTGATTCCCTTTTCTGATTCCCAAGAGCCCATCTGTCTGAAGCTGGTTAATGCGTTGTCCAAAGTGGATACATAGGTTGTAAGAGTCAAGTGAGCAAGGCAGAGACGCACATTAGTGTTCATACATCCAGCAGTGTATTGAGAGTTGCTCGGCATTACCAAGGCAACTGGTACAGAGAGTGGTTTGTCCAGGAATCAGTGTTGTTCTTCCTCCCATCTCCAGTAGCTGATCCGCCAAAACCATCATTTTCCCAGGATGAGCTTCACCCTCTTGGCTATAAAGTATGAGCAAAGTGGAACATAGGAGGCTGTCTTACGGAGTCAGACCATTTGTCTACCTAGCTCAGCATTGTCTACACTGGCTGACAGCAGCTCTCAGGTTTCAGGAGGGATCTCTCGCAGGCTCATCTGCAATGCCCCACTGCCTCATTCTCCCTAATGGACCAGCATCCACTGCCTCCTGCTGCTTCTGCAGGCACAAGAAACAGGTTGTGTTGCAAATCTGTAGTGTGATGCATTTGGACTCATGGATCAGAAGTTGCGCATTAATTGGCCTAAGTCCTTAGCACTGGGGAGAGATTCTTGCTCTGCTGTGAACCCCAAAACATACAGAATTGTATAAATCTTACTGACTTGGTTGTCTTTTCACTTCCAGGGGAAAGCTTTAGGATTACCAGACCAAGAAGAAGTAGAATGATGAAAGCCTATGAGACATCTCTTCATTTGGAACTGGGATCGGGGATGGCTGAACAATCGCCCCCCCCCCTAAATCAAAAGACTTAGTTGGTTTCATATTGGCACTGATAGTTCAGTGCATGTGCAATAAGAACATGCTGCTTTTGCGATGCTGGAGTACATTTTGCAAGTCACAGCAGGTTGTGGCATTTTTAGTCCTTTGGTTAACATGCTTCAGTGACACATTGTTCAGGTGGAGAAACCTCTCAGTACTTTTGTGCAAGAGACATCTTTGTAGGCGTAATTGGAACGTAATCACAATAATAAAACCTATATATAAAAATGGAGATCTCAGGAGTAGGATTGATGGGTTCCGCATGGGACAGGGCTCCTGCCTTTTTAATGGGTGCTTGGAGGGCAGAGATTAGTCAGCTACAGTTTCTTCCATTGCTGTAGCCCCGACTCACAGATAAGTCTGTTTACATTACATTATGTAGCATCACTGAGCCATACCACTTGAGACCTGGTGGGGTAACAGAATAATTGAAAGTTTCCCCCTGTGAAAATTCCCTTGCATTCATTTCCAATGAACCTCCTTCATTGAAGGTTATTAAGCAGAAGTCAGATGGACTTCTGTCATGGATGCTCTAATTGAGATCCCTGTATCACAGGGGGTTGGACTAGATGACCCTGGGAGTGACAGGAATAGCTTGAAGCAGAATATTGAGGCAGGACAGCCCAGGCAGCAGCAGAAGAAGCAGAGCTTCTCCAAGCTCAATTACTGTGATGGTTGTGGTGGCTTTCATTTTCTTCTCCTACCTCGACAATCTGAAAATGAAAAAGGAAGGGCCAGGATGCAGGAGCCTCTCTAAAGCCAATACAGCATCAGTCAAGAGAAACTCCTCCTTAATGACAGCCAGAGCCTTCCACAAAGCGGCCTTTCCCAGGAAGTTGCCGACAGGTCTAAGACCTGCTGTGTCACACGGCTTGGACCTCAACCTGGCAAATGGGGAAGACTCCAGAGGAACTGTGGCAGTAGAGGGAATCTAACCTGATCCAGCTTATCCCCCACTAGGAGCAACCTTTTGAGATCACAACAGCTCACACAGGCAACCAAACAAAGATCTTGCCACTACTGTGATGCTGTTCTAAAGCAGCACAAGTAAATATGGTGTTACCTCGGGGTGGGGGAGATAACTGGAGGCAGATTTCTGAGGTGATATTTGCACCCCTAGCCAGGCTGGTTTCACCAACCCCTAGGTATGCCTCTGCACATGTACAAACACATATATTTATATTTGAGAGCCAGCACGGCATAGTGGTTAGAGCATCAGACTACTAGGACCTGGGAGACCAGGGTTTGAATCCCCACTTGGCCATGAAGCTCACTGGGTGACCTTACATTTCAGCAGGTCTTACATTTCAGCAGGACTAACACTGGGGCCCCACACCAGGATCTAGTGCCAAATTACCTTACGTGCACCCACTTGATCACTTTGATAAGCAGAATTGACTCTACTACAAGTGCCACATAATACCCTATGTGTTCTACATTTGTGAGAACTCTATTGTTTAGCGTGGCAACGCCTACACTGTGGAACTCCCTGCATGTTCAGGTCGTGTACTCTTTTGGGCTCCTGCTAAAAACATTATTGTTCAGACAAGCCTGCCCTGATGCTTAGAAACACTGGTGTGAATTTTGAATTTGTTCTAGTATTTTAATTTGTGTATGTTTTAAGGTATAGCTGTAGATTTTTCTTGATTTTCTTGTCTTATCTTTTGTAAACCACTTTGAGGTTTCCTTTTCTTTTTTTTTACAATCGAGCAGTGCATAAATTTTATGAAATAAACAGAAGAAATCAACCTTGTGATATTAAGTTTTACATTCACTTTTAGTACGGGGATTTGTTCTTATATGTTTAGTTCTAGATTGCCCTTTCTACTTTTGATTTATTTGGCATCCGTTATTATACTTTGTTACATTATAAATACTTATATGTTGTTGGCATCCATCTTTCTTGAGAGACAATGGAGTGAGCCTATGGGAGTGAAGCCCACCTGCTGGAGAACCACAGTGCCTGCTGTAACTGCTGAGACCCGTAACTTGTAACTGCTGCTTCCTGAGTTGTTTTTGCTGCATGACCCGGGCGCAAGCCTGGGCAGTGGGTCTGGAGGTCCTGAGCTGCTCAGATGACAAGACTCCCCCCTCTCTCTCCCAAGGGAAAGCAGTACAATACAATTGGCACCAGCTGAGTTGCAAAAGTTCCTGGAAGGAGGCAGACAAGGCGCCATCCAACCACCTTAGGGACTCCGCTTCAGATTTGTGTAGGGTTTACTCCTCAGCCTTTTCTTCTCCTGAAGATGTCCCACAAGGTAGGATATGTAAACAAAATCAACAACCAGAATCAAATTTCTCCCCCAACCTAACCTGAGCTGACTGGAGCATGAAGTTCACTGTAACGGGTGGTGGACCCGACTGCCGACTGCACTCCGTATGCGCTGCACTTGGATAACCTGCACATCACTCCCTCTGATTTCAACCCCATGTGGCTGAGTGCCAACAGCAATGTGGCCAAAACACTGATAAATTGAGCTCACAGCCTTTTCACCCTAAAACAAAATATAAATTCTTCTTATCCACAAAGCTTTCTCGGTTTCAGCCACCCAACAGGCTGTTCTTTTTGGTTTTCACTGCAGAACCAGGTGTCAGAAACCCTCTTCTTATCTGCTATAAATCCTTCAATGGAGGTTTCTAAGCAGAAGTCAGATGGCCGTCTGTCATGGATGCTTTATTTTTTTATATTTATAAAATATTTATTAAGATTTTCAAAATATTACAATATAAAAATGAAAAATAAAAATAAAATACAAAATAAAAATGATTAAAAACCACTCAATTTTTCCATTACTTATTTTTCCTTAGCTTGTTTCCCGGACCTCCTCATACCTCCCTTTTTTGTATTCCAGTTCAGTTTGTTGGTTCAGCAAATCCTTACCCTCTTTATTTATCCTAATCTTTGGTCTTAAAATAGTAACGTTAGATTTTTACCTATTAACAACCCATTTTTCATATTCCCTTAAAGCATTACAGCTGGAAACCACTTAATTTCTATCCAACATCATTCTAACATTCATTAATTTTACAATATTTCTGTAGATAGTCTTTGAATTTCTTCCAATCTTCTTCCACCTACTCTTCTCCCTGGTCTCAGATTCTGCCAGTCATTTCTGCCAGTTCCATATAGTCCATCAGCTTCATCTGCCATTCTTCCAGAATGGGTAAATCTTGTGTCTTCCAATACTTTGCAATGAGTATTCTTGCTGCTGTTGTGGCATACATAAAAAAGGTTCTATCCTTCTTTGGCACCAATTGGCCGACTATGCCCAGGAGAAAGGCCTCTGGTTTCTTCAAGAAGGTATATTTAAATACCTTTTTCAGTTCATTATATATCATTTCCCAGAAAGCCTTAATCCTTGGGCACGTCCACCAAAGGTGAAAGAATGTACCTTCAATTTCTTTACATTTCCAACATTTGTTATCGGGCAAATGATAAATTTTTGCAAGCTTGACTGGGGTCATGTACCACCTGTATATCATTTTCATAATATTCTCTTAAGGCATTACATGCCGTAAACCTCATACCTGTGGTCCATAACTGTTCCCAGTCAGCCATCATTATGTTATGTCCAACGTCTTGTGCCCATTTAATCATAGCAGATTTCACCGTTTCATCCTGAGTATTCCATTTCAACAGCAAGTTATACATCTTTCACAAAATCTTAGTTTTGGGTTCTAACAGTTGTGTTTCTAATTTTGATTTTTCCACCTGGAAACCAATTTTCCTGTCCAAATTATATGCCTCCATTATCTGATAATAATGAAGCCAGTCTCGCACTTTGTTTTTTAATTTCTCAAAACTCTGCAATTTCAGTCTATCTCCGTCTTGTTCCAAAATTTCCCAATATTTCGGCCATTTGACCTCCATATTGAGCTTTTTCAGAGCTTTTGCTTCCATCGGTGACAGCCACCTTGGGGTTTTATTTTCCAATAAATCCTTGTATCTTATCCAGACATTAAACAATGCTTTCCTAACAATATGGTTTTTAAATGCTTTATGTGCTTTGACCTTATCATACCACAGATATGCATGCCATCCAAATACATTGTTAAAACCTTCTAGATCCAAAATGTCAGTGTTTTCAAGAAGCAACCATTCTTTCAACCAGCAAAAAGCTGCTGATTCATATTAAAGTTTAAAGTCTGGCAGGGCAAATCCACCTCTTTCCTTTGCATCTGTTAATATTTTAAATTTTATTCTAGGCTTCTTGCCCTGCCAGACAAATTTAGAAATATCTCTCTGCCACCTCTTGAAACAGTCCATTTTGTCCACAATTTGCAATGTTTGAAACAAAAACAACATTCTAGGCAATACATTCATTTTTACCGCAGCAATACGGCCCAGCAGTGAAAGCTTCAAATTTGACCAAATTTCTAAATCTTTTTCACTTCAACCCAGCATTTTTCATAGTTGTCTTTAAATAAATTGCCATTTTTGCTGTCATGTTAATCCCCAAGTATTTAACTTTCTTAACCCCTCTTAAACCTTACTCATTCTGAAACCTCTCTCTCTCCATTGGTGTTAAATTGTTCTCTAAAACCTTGGTCTTTAACTTATTCAATTTAAATCCTGCAACTTGACCAAATTCTTGAATCAGTTCTAAAACTCTTTTGGTACTAGATTCTGGCTCCTGTAACGTCAATACTAAGTCATCTGCAAATGCTCTCAGTTTGTGCTGTTTGGCTCCGACCTGTATACCTTTAACCAACCCTTCTAATCATATTCAGCAGAACCTCCAGGACCGCTGTCATGGATGCTTTAGTTGAGATCCCTGTATTGCAGGGGGGTTGGATCGGATGACCCTGGTTCTGTGATTCCATGATTCCATGCAGAGATGCCTTGGCAGAGATGCCTACCCAGAACCTCTCCTGCAAGTACATTGCCCCTGCCCCCCAGTGTGGGT